TAAATAGACAAAGTAACTAATGAAAAGATATTAGAGACTTTAAAATTTAAATTTACCACAGGGACCAAACTTTTTAAATTTGTTTTAATTTTCTTTTTAATAATTTTTATTATTACTTTTTAGGTTACGGAAATGGAAAATACAAATACGAATAATGTAATAAATAAAATAATTTTCCTATTTACATAATGCTAAATGTATAGAGTTTGTTTTGATTTGAAATTACGAACATTTCTAATTTTATAGACTTTCGCGTTGATGAACGTACATTACACATCCTTCCAAACGTTTTCTTGAAATTTAAAAAAATGCTCAAATCAACTAATTCTCTTTTGATAATTGAATTATGGAACTTTGACTTAACCTATAAACTTCTCAGCTATGAATGAATTATTTGTAATTTCTCCGACTTTCACTGACACACTAAAATGATTTGTCACAGTTGGTGACTCACCATTGGCTGACAACGCTACAACATAGCCACATTGGAAATGCACGTTTCAGACCCTAATGGTATGCAAAACGCCACTGGTGTTGGTTTTTAATGTGGTTGAAGATCTTCGGTTCGAATAACGGCAAAAATTTGTAGAGCAGAAGACTGATCACGTACTTTTATCGCATATTAGTTCAGGCACCTCACATTTGAATTCTTCGCGATTATAACGGATTAAACAGTACTTATCCGGAGCTGGATATTCGGTAGTGGGCTGATTAATTTTAAAGAACGCATTGTTAAGTGCCTATCTCATTAATAATCCGATGTTTTGCTAGTATTTTTTACTGTATTATTGCATTTTTTTTTTGTAGAGCAGTGTTGGCCTAGTGGCTTCAGCGTGCGACTCTCATACCTGAGGTCGTAGGTTCGATCCCCGGCTGTGCACCAATGGACTGTCAGCTGTCTATGTGCGCATTTAACATTTTGCTCGAACGGTAAAGGAAAACATCGTGAGAAAACCGACATGTCTTAGACCCAAAAAGTCGACGGCGCGTGTCAGGCACTGGAGGCTGATCACCTATTAGATTTAAAAATGATCATGAAACAGATTCAGAAATCTGAGGCCAAGACCTAAAGAGGTTGTAGCGCCACTGATATATTTTATTTTTATTATTGAATTTTTTGTAGCATTTATATTTACCAATATGTAAGAAAAGATAGCTTGTAACATATACGGTAGATATATTATGTATGATGTAGTAAACTTTAATAAATAAATATATTTAATGCAATTGTAAAATACTATTCAATTTGATAAGTAGGTGAGTGTTCTGTGCGTGTACAAGTCGATTTTAGGGGCTAAGACATGCCGATTTCCTCGCGATGTTTACCTTTACTGTACGAGAAAGTGTTGACACACAGAAAGTTGGCACATAGCAAACTCCATTGGTCCACAGCCGATTTGACCTCTGGATTGAGAAACGCTACACTGCCATCGTAACGTAAAATTTATCAATTATTATAATTGTGGAGACGCGACCGAATTATCAATCTTCTTATAGCGGTACGCCGACGATTTTATCGTAGTTCCGTAGAGGCGCTAGGTCAGAGACTGAAGAAGGTAAGCAGCTGCTTCCTGGTTGGTATGCCTGGACCTTTTAGGGTGCAGGATGATACAGGGACTAATTTTAGCAGAAGATTATGTAAAATAATTGTAAATTTATAATAATACATAACTTCAATCCGGTAAAAAAGTGTTTTCTTTAGCAGAAGATATTTAAGATTATACAAACATTTTCGCTGTATTTTTAAAGTTATACTTCTTTAGGCGCGTTATGAAAAATTGATGAGAGTGAAATTTTACGATGCGCGCGCACTGTGACACAACATTAACAGAATGAAGTTGCCCACGGAAGATGCTACGGCATTGGACATAATTTAAAAGCAACATTCGAATAATAATAGAATTTATGTTACACTTAATGTAAGAGAATAATAATAACTATTTATTTATTTAATTTTTCAAATGTAAACTGAACTATATTGACTATAATGACTCCTTTTCCAGTCTTTGATTATTTAATTGTAATTAATTATTTGCATGCAATCAAAAACTATTTTTAATAATGCCAAAGAAGTATAACTTCTTACGCGCGTACGTGTACTTAACACGCACCCTTTTTTTATTATCTGTGACTGGCAGAGTTCAATGGCCACACGGCAGTCTACTGACAAATTGTTTTTTTAATATTTCAACGTGTAAAACGCATTAAATAAAATAAAGCCCAGTTTTTGCTAAGGTTTTATCGATATTCAGTAAAATGCGTTATACCTAGCAACATGTTTTGTATAAGCCACACAATGCGATTTGCTAGGTCACAATACTGGGGAACTAGGTATTATATTTAGGGCTTTTACATACGAAACGTTTTTTAAACAATTCTTTTGAATTTGATGTGCGCTAAATTGTTTACAAGTAACGATTTTACTCGTATTTACATTTTGTTACATATTAAAATTCAAATTTAAAAAAGCTTTAACGCACAAATTTTGTTTAAAATACATATGCTCCATCATAGTGGTTATGATACGCATATACTTCGTAATTATGGAAAAAACAGAAGAAAGAGAAAGTTATTTGTCTATTAGATGCTTTGTTTATTTAAGGCCTTGGTTAAGTTGAAATATTTGCATAACAGTGAACTCTACTAAGAAACGATTCCTGGATATACAACATCTGAATAGGTAAATTAACTAAGGGAAATTTTCAATTAAAAACTATGGAAGTTTGTATTGGATTTTTGGCTAATTAATTTACCTTATGTTTTTTTGTATTTACTTATACACGCGAGTTACGAACACCTAAGTAATATAATTTTGATACTGATTATTTTAATAAGATAGGATAACTCATACAAAAAATAACCAATCTGAGATATATTATAAAGAAAACTCTAGCATATGACCAGCCTTATTCAATGTGGGTTGCGTTACAATGTCACTTCCTAATAATAGCTTATAACACCAATACAGGATTATTGCGAAACGTAGGCGTGATATTTTAAAAATATCGCCATATTTTAAAGAGTTTTGATGAAAATCTGTATAGAGAAGTGTTTTTCACTTCGTAAGTGAATGAAGTGAAGCTAGTACCACCTAAAAACCGATGGAGCAGGTTATCAATTCGAGGTTTTTTTTGTGTATTTACTGCGCTAGTAGTAAAAACGTACGTAGTCAATAGTAAAATAATAAACGGCTCAAATATAAGAGACTTTCCTCCAACTTTCATTTTGTTCCCTTTGGAGTAGAGACTTGGGCCGTGGGGTTTAAGTGCACAGGCGCTCGCTAATTAATGATTTAATTTACTGTCTGAGAATCGGCTACTATCTTTCTTTCAAACCCCTTAATGAAATCCCTAATTTTTTTTTTTTTTAATTTTTTTTTTTATGATACAGCATACAAAAATCCATATAACCCCTAATTTTCAGCCCCGAAATCAACCCCTATTGTTTATTATAAAATATTTATTTTTATTGGACTAAAAAAAGTAATAATATACATGACAAAACAACGTTTGCCGGGTCAGCTTGTGTACTTATATATATCTATTAGATATATGTATATATATATATTAAACTTTTTGGTTCAAAAAAAGGAAAACTGACAAGCTGCACCCTGAAGTATATAGATAATACAATAAAATGTCAGTTTCGTATCGATTTTATCAATTATTATCTATGAATTGCATGCATTTTACAAAAATACAATGTCGCTCATATATCCGAAATTTGACAATTTATAAGGAATTTGTGCAGAAAATAATAAAATATTTTAACATACTATGTGAGTATTGTGTTTAGTGTGTTGTATGTAGAAAATGGGTAATTTTGTTGCGACATTTTTGTAAAAGATTTTTTTTCTCTTTGGCCTTTGTTTCTACCACCTCCGTGGCCTAGTCACGCACTTGATTCAATTTCCGGCACTTGACAAAGCACCATCATATACTAACAATATATTAAATATGAAGAGAAAATAGTTAGTGGGACAGTTACAGTTCGGTTCCTGGGTCATCGGGGTGCTTTAAATAATAGATAATTTTATTTTTACTTTATATTAACCGCTGGATTACAACAATAGAATATAATCGAAATATTGTTAATTGCTATGTAAGGAATGAATGCAATGTAACCGTTGAAGAGAGTGCCTACGTCTGGCTATACTCTCGGGCCGTAACTCCGACGATTTAGGAATTCGCCACGCTTATAAAACTAAGAAAGCCTGAGCTAGCAACATGTACAGCCTTGTCTCGTACAGTCACAATAATGTGTCTATAACATATCTTCGTGGTAATCGATTAGCTTCAATGTTTGGATTTCTTAGATAGCGAATATTCACGCAAATTGATACAAATCTGGTATTGGATTTGCATTTCCCGAAAAGTGTCTAGTCTAGTGGTTAACCGTGCAACACTGATCTCGTGCCTTCAAACCACGGTTATATGTGCAAAATATCATGAAGAAATCGATCAGAGTTTTCCCAAATCTTATTATTATTATTTATTTATAAAATGTTCATAAAACCATGGGGATAACTATACCCTTGAGGGTTCCGGGACGCCATACCTCTCACATTAACGGCAATGTGCAATTTTGATAAATTTCTGACCTTGAAATATAATAGAATATAGATATTATCAAAAAAGTCCGATTCCCGATTTTTTCCGGTTCAAACAATCTTATCACTCAATTGCCTGTATATGATTCTAGGAATACTCATAATACGATTTATCGCATTTTATCTACGCTATGATATTTCTGTAATCGCCGCCCGCCTACATATTTAATATCTTATGAAAGATTAGCAATGATAGTTTTATTTAAAAAATAAAAATTTATACATTATCATCAATTGTTTTAAGCCTGAGATGAAGGCAGAGATTTGAGAAGTCAAACACTTGATCTCACAGGTCCGTGATACAGGAACCTAATCCAATATGTTCTTTTACAGATGGCAGGTAGAAGGCATGAAGTGAATTGAACGCACACATAGCATAACCGTTATCAAGATGGCCTGCCTTCCCTTCCCGAGCCAGGAGTATGTGCCCGTCGCCGAGTTTTACGCCGAGAAGTCTATATTTGTCACGGGGGGCACGGGATTCATGGGAAAGGTAAGAAAAACCCATCAAAGTTTTAATCCACGTTCATTGAAGGGGGTTTAGTCGTACTAGGCGTTAACCTAAGGGGCAGAGGCAAACGAATCAATCGCTGCGTTCAAGCACATACCTTTTTAACACTGTACATTGTATGTTTAAGAGAAAGTCAATTATATATTCAAAGTTATAGTCATGGTTATACAACAATATAATTTCCTTTTTACTATTATTATCAAACTCAAACTCAAAATAACTTTATTGAATATGGGTAAACAAGTAAGTACACTTATGAACGTCAACAGAAAAGATGTTAAATTGATTCTAAATTTACATTTACTACCAGTTTGCAAGTCAACGGCGTAGAGAGGGCAAGAAGAACGGGCGAGAAACTCTCCGCCACTCTTTTTAATCATCATACAAATTGTTTTAACTGGAGCAAATCAATCAAGGGTTAGGAGCAAATCAAGGATTAGGATCATTTAAATAATCGTCAAATTTATAAAAAGCTTTTTTTTTAAATCAATATTAAATTACTTTTAACACGAGTTTTGAATTTATTCAGTGATAATTCTCTTGGCTCGGGAGTTTGTTGTAAAAACGACTACAATTTCCTTATAAGCAGTGGTTTATCTTCTGGTTAGTCGTACGCTTAGATTAGTTCTGATTTGATTCTATATTGGTGCTCCTATTTAATATGAACCTTGGGTGGCAGGAATTTTATCTATAAATATATTTTACATAATATCATTTGTATCAAGTGTAAATGATATCTATCTATAACCTGAAAAAATTTGATGGAAACAGGTTCTCGAATTAAACACCTGACTAAGTGCGTAGATTTCATTTGACTGATTTTTAATTTCCAGGTGTTAGTCGAGAAACTGTTGCGAAGCTGTCCCAAAATAAAGAACATATATTTGTTGATGAGGCCTAAACGGGGTCAGGATGTGGCGTCACGGCTTAGCGAACTTACACAGTCACCGGTAAGTTAAAAACTATTCCGTTAATCTCCGTTACGGAGGGTTTTATTTCAGAGGGCAGCTCGTCTCAGAGGCGTTTCTGAACAGCCTGCAAATGCTTAGTGATGTTCATAATAAAAAATATTAGGTCCTTACATAAATTGGAGTTTTGTATGGGAGAAACAAAAAGTAGTTTTTAATACAGTTGCTCAAAAAGTGGCGTATTGCAGGGACGTATAGCGTTCGGGATGTGGGCTATTACACACTCGTGCTTTTTTTTACCTTTTCCGAACTAGTGCGTTTTCTTTCCCAACTGTCAAAATAATGTCTATTAAAAAGAAAAAACCAACCACGAAGTTTTTACTAAAAAAAATTCATAGAAATTTTTATGATTCATGCAAATATTTCTAAAAAGAAGCTACTGCTTTGTTTCAATATAAGATTTAATGATTTGATTCAATGAGTTAGGTTAGATTTCATTTCATCTCCTTAAATTTCATTTCATATCAATAAAATTGTACTGAAGACTTGGCTGTATGGGCATAGTTCCCTTTGCATACCCAGAATGGGTGAAGAAAAAAAAAAATCTGCTTATATTCTTTTACGGTAGGCGCCATTTTCCAAAAATGTTCTTTGCGCGTTTAGTTGTTTGTTATATTATATATTAAATATACATGAAAAATCATACGAAATAAATAATAGTTTGTCTCAAACAGTAAATAAATATGCAACCTAAAACTTCTCCAGTTAGTATAAAAAACTGTACCAATGTATATGTGAACAATAATTTGTATAAGAAATAAATGATTAGTGAGTTGAGTTTATTGTTTTTTATTATTTTATTTAATTGCATAATTTTTTCGCAACTGTATTAAAAATAGTTGTTCAGTACACGTGCGGAACCGTCATTGCAACTTGTTCCGACTGTCAACCCTCACCTTCGGCTGCGCCTCGGCTCGGGTAGACATTTGTCGAAACTCTTTGCAATGACAGGCTTTCCGCACTTGTAATGAAATATACTATTTTTTTTAAATAAAACTAAATAAATTAATAATATTATATAGTAATGCTATCTGTTCATATATAGCCTTTGTACATATTGGTACGTTTTGCCATCTTAAAAGTAGTTCCTTGATTCCTTTACCAAAAACGTTGAATTCTGTACCTTGCAAAAAGTTATCCAAATTTCCAAAAAAATTGTAATCTGTTGGAGCAAGGTCCGGGGAGTACGGTGGATGTCTTTAAGACATTCCAATTGAAGCTCTAGCAGTCTGTTGTGCAGTGTGCGGTCTAACGTTGTCGTGAAGCAGCAGTGGCCTAGAGCGATTAACCAGCCTTGGTTGTTCGTTCGAGGCAGAATACGAAATTCCACCAGTAGTATTATTACCTCGACGTCTGTCGTTCCACAACTAAGTGTTTTTGCCGCGCACCACTACTGTGAAAGTAGCTACCCACTGAAGTATTTCCGAACCAATTCAAGAAAATATTGTACCATTTCTTAAAAGACTGACAACCTGCGAACCCTCTGGCATTAAGAGTGTCCTTGGGCGGTATCAGTTAACATCAGATAAGCCGATGACGATTGCAATGCCGATTTTAATGTTAAGTTTTTGTACTGCGCGGTCCCTTTTTTGTGACATTAGCGCTGCAGACATTGAGAGAAATGCATATAATTCGATCGGCTATGGCATCCGTACTTCTAATTAGATTCTTACGGCGTGATTCAAGTTTTCGATACAAATTTGATTGTTTCTCTTATCTGACGTTATCAAAACGTTATTGAATTTTACTTATCACTGTGCAGTTCACTGTACGAGCTCTTTAGTGAAACATATTAATCTTAATGAAATATATGTCACTTAGGAATATAACTTTTAAATACCAAAGGTGCTACAACCTTTTTTAGGTCTGGGTCTCAGATTTTTGTATGTTCCGTGATGATTTCTATAGGCAAGTGGTGGTCAACTATCTGTGGCTACCACACCGTTTTGAGTCTACGGCATGCCGGTTTCCTCACGATATTTTCCTTCATCGGGCGATTGTTAAATTTGCACATTGACTGTAGGTGCATAGGCGGGGATCGAACCTTCGACTCCAGGCTCTTCATGTAACTTTTTACCGGTGAATAAATTTACGAAATCGGTTAGATATGACCATCTTTTTCTTAAACTCTTTTTCAGTTATTCGAGACATTAAGAAGAGAGAGACCGCAGGAGTTGACCAAAATAGTTCCGATAGTGGGGGACATTACGGAGCCGGAGTTGGGCATCAGCGCTGCCGATCAAACCATGCTGTGTCAAAAGGTATTTCCGGTATTCTTAAGTTATTCAAAATTCCATTTTTATAATGTTTAAAGAACTTTATTTCTCGTTACAAAAAGGAATGTATTATATTTACATGAGAAACTTAATATGTATATACGAACGAGATACACGTCGCCATCAGCCGTCCCAATTTTAGTCTAGTCTCATTCTGATATGTATCTTTAATGCCCTTTTGAATTGGTTAAATTGGTTTTATGGGTTCCGTTTACGCAGATGATAGATATCACGAACTAAATGGCATATTAATTTTTATTTCTTTTTTGGCAGGTGTCAATAGTTTTCCATTCGGCTGCAACTGTCAAGTTTGATGAGAAGCTGAAGCTATCGGTAACCATCAATATGCTGGGAACTCAACAGTTGGTTCAGCTGTGTCATCGTATGCTAGCTTTGGAAGTGAGTGACTCGTGCTTACTGCTTTGCTTGACATTTGTGTATGAAATTTAGTATCACACATTGAATGAGACAATCAATTACAAGTTACAAGAAAGTTATTAGAGCGACTCATGGCCATGTGTAATACCTTTTCAGAATCCCTATTAAATGCGCCAAAACTTGTTATACAGGGTCACTTTTCCGTAGAGTATTTTATTTTCACAGTGGGGTCCGAAGTAAACAAAAAGTTCTGATTTGAAAAACATTTATATCGTATAACTTAATTAAATTAAAAAAATTAATTAATATTATCTTCAATATACTCAATAAACAACGATAAATAGTATGTCTAACGCAAGGACTCATCACTACCAATCTAGTGGATATTATGAAAAAAATACAGGTGTAGATATTTTCGAATTTTAATAAGAAGTAGTAGAAAAAGTCAACTTTCTTATAAAAACGCAAAATAAATTATAACTCTGCAGGGGTTGAGCTTAAAAACCTCCCGTAGAACAATTTTTTGCAGCTGATGACCTCATCTATACCCTAGTTGCGTTTGATCCACGACTTTTTGACCACCCTGTATATACATATAGAACAGGTATAGAACAGGATCACCATTGCTAAAACATTACGTAGTAGTTACCTACTCCTTTTTTTCTAGTCATCGAAAATACTGTGTATGCGCAAAATAAGCTTCTAAGTCACTTAAATAGCATTAAAGTTTATAACAACAGTATCCCGAATATATTGCAGGCCCTAGTACACGTTTCAACAGCGTACTGCAACTGCGAGCGCGAAGCAGTCGAGGAGAGAGTGTACGCGCCTCCAGCACACCCGGAACACGTTGTCACACTGGTGCAGACGCTGCCAGATGACCTGGTCGATAGGATCACGCCAGATCTAGTCGGTAAGATCGGACCGGAGTCCGATGTCAGTTATTTTTAACGACTAAAGAATTGGTATTTTTCATTAAATTTTATTATATTTTTTCAATTAAGCAGTGTTGAATAACTAAAAGTTTGGAAGATTTGAAATATTTAAAAAAAAATGCTGATTTATTCGGATTGTTGGTTACTGGATTTTGAAACATTTAGTACAGACGTTGAGTATTAGCCTGATTAACTGAGATATGGTTAGCGTCGATAAAAGGGATTTTTAGTTCTCAGCATATATGTTTCTCGTGCGTAAGCTAATTAGCGTAATTTGTTTGTGTAGGTGACAGACCAAATACATATACATTTACTAAAGCATTGGCGGAAGACATGCTTATCAAGGAATGCGGGAATCTGCCGGTTGCCATCGTCAGACCTTCGATTGGTAAGAGCATTTATTATTTTCAATTTGTATGACAGTAACCCCTTAGTTTCTCCCGACGAAGACGGTGGGGAATGGAAAAAGATTTGCAACACTTACACGACCATTAATAATGAAGAACGCGACTAAAGAAGAAGAACTCTTTAAAATATATTTGAAAGCTTCAGCACGTACGAGATTGTCCTTCTCTACCTCAAATATTTATAAGCATATTTCAATTAAAATTAATACTACCTAAAGTTTTATTTCGTTGAATGTTTCATTCCAGTGCTGTCCTCTGTCAAAGAGCCCGTGAAAGGATGGGTGGACAACTGGAATGGTCCCAACGGGATAATTGCGGCGGTTGGAAAGGGTGTCTTCAGGTCTATGTTGGGCACTGGGAATAAGGTGGCAGACCTGGTTCCAGTGGATACTGTGATTAATCTGATGATAGTCTGCGCTTGGAGGACGCATTTGAGACGGTAAACGCTACATTCTCTTAGGTTAGGCTAAGCGATAAATAGTGTGTGGCTGGATTAACTTGGAATGTGAAAATTTATTTGTTTTAATATTAAAAAAAAGTAAAAAGCGTGGTATGTTACATATGTCAATTAAACTAAACTAGTTACAATAGTCTAGAAGAATATTGTGTCATTTTGGCAAAAATCTTAATGAGATTAAACTTAGGTTTAATATTATATATATATATAACTATTAATCAAACTTTTAAGTTCAATTAATAGTTAATTTTGATCCGATTAACCATTAGGCAACTTACACATAGATGGGCAGAGGCAATTGAATCCAAGAGGGAGGCGCAACCGATTAGTTTGGTTATAGCGAAAGCCTTCGATCGGGTGTTACATAAAGCGCTTCTCTCGAAGCTTCCAGCCTATGGGCTCCCCGAGAAATTATGCCACTGGATCTCCAGCTTTCTGGCTGATCGGAGCATCAAGGTCGTCATCGAAGGAGCATGTTTCGACCTAAAACCGTTGAACGCTGGGGTCCCACAAGGCTGTTTCCTATCCCCGACTAGTTTTCTTCTACATATCAATGATAGACGTTGCAACTTTAATTATTTGGATACACGTGTTTAGACATGCATTTCATGCACTTTTAAGCCATTAGATGGATTCAGTATTGTTATGCAATGCTTCTAAGAGTACGTGCGCGAACTTTCTGCCTCCTAAAATATTGTTAAGTACTTAACAGATATCAATAAAATCTAAAAGTGTCAACTATGTATTTTATGTTTTTAATAATTTCAGTGGCGAAGGGGTAGTGGTGTATAACTGTTGTACCGGACAACAGAATCCCATCACGTGGCGTCGCTTTGTCAAGACCAGCTTTAAATACATGAGAAAACATCCTTTTAGTGAGTATACAGTACAGTCTTTAATTACTTGCCGTATGTTTTTGTATTTTTTTATTAAATTAGCTTTGAAAATATGTTATTATCAAATGCCAACAAGATACAATATGAATTGCAGGTGGCCTAGTGTGGTACCCTGGAGGAGACATCACGAACAATCGTCTCAAACATCGGATTCTGATGTTACTTCAGCATCGGGCACCGGCAGCTCTCTTTGATATCCTCACTGCTGTCACGGGAAATAAACCTTCGTAAGCCAATTTCTTTAGATACTAAGATATTATGTTTGCGATAATGACCCATCTGGTCACCAAACTCCAAAAAGTATATTGTTTTTTTTCCATTTTTCGTCATCGATTCTTGAAGTATTGAAAAAATATATGGTGTAGTTGAGTATCCATTTTGAAAGATCGATACACGATTTAAATAACTTCGCTCGATTGAAAAAAATCCAAACATAGCCAATTTTTGACACTTTGAATTCATTTTATGAGGAAAATGTGAATGCAAGCCAAGTAATCCAATTCAGAAAATGTTTAATAAAATTACATTAATTTAATGTATTACATAACTAATTGTTATTACTGGCCGGCGCGCCTCAGTGCTCCAGCTCTCCACTGCGCCCCGCAGTCCGACCCGAGACACTGACACAGCAATTCGTGCTGGGATAGGGCCTTAAGCACACAAATGATATGAAGTAGTTAGTTCTAACCTATGTATTTTTTTAGAATGATGCGCGTTCAAAGCAAATTAGAAAAGGCCTCGTCCTGCTTAGAGTATTTCACCACGCGGCAATGGGCCTTCAGCGACGACAACGTGAAGGCTCTCTGCACCTATCTCTCGCCTCAGGATAGGACCACTTTCGACTTCGACGTCAGCAAGATCGACTGGGACGCGTATATCGAGTCGTACGTTTTGGGGATCCGGAGGTTTCTCTTCAAGGAGAGCCCCGAAACGTTGCCAAAGTCGCGAGCTATTTTATGGCGGTGAGTTTTTTTAGGTGGATGAATGATAAGCGGTTAACGAGTAAAATATACAAGGCAACCGTGAATGATGAAGTCGGGTTGGGTAGGCTTTGTCGAACCTGGACCAAATCCCGGACGTACTAGAGAATGGACAAGTTAAAAGTACCGACGAGCATGAATGGAGAATGTCAATAGACCTAAAATATTAAAAAATATATATTTATGTGGATTCCGTTTATTAAATTTATTAGGTTCAAACCTTATGTTTGATTGTATCGATTGGTGCCGAGTGTGTGTGTGTGTTTTTTTTGTAATAAATGATATGTCTATGTAAAACACATGTTCTGTAAAACGTTTTTTAGGCTTTAAACGGTATTTTTAAAACATTTTTAGCCCTCCTAGTGGTGTTAACTAAAATAACATTTTATTTCCTATTTCACGTCAAATTAGTACTATTTTAATTTCTTGAATCCTTCGTTTCAGGTTACACATAGTTCATACTTTAACCAAAGTGGCGACAGTTTTCATCCTTTGGCGATTTTTGTTCAGCCGCTCGAATGCTCTTCGAACGCTTTGGCATCGAATCTGGGACTTATTATCTAGAATTGCCCGCCTCCTACCGATCGCCTGATGCTTAATATAATATTATTAGGGGCTTCTGCATTCTAATCGATTTTGTTTCACGCTGTTTCCGCGGTTAGCTCAGAAGATGGCGCCGCTTAGTCTGTGCGACTTTTGACATTGACGGCTTTACAGGTTATTAAAATTATGTTTTCGTCGGAACTTATGTTTGTGAATGACCCGTAATTGTAGAATTTGTTAACGATTTAACTGCCAACTTGATTTCCTGAAATCTAAGTAGAATTTATGATTTTCGGCCTTTACTAATTTTCTAACTTAATTGACAAGAAATAAGGTTGAAAGTCGCACGGTATCTTTCTCTTCCCAGCTAAGCCTTTAATTCGTTACCTTATGGTTACAATGTAACGTAAATTAATATATTTTGTAACAACACTCGCGTCCGCCTAATTTGGGACGATCATAAAACGTAATTTCTAAATAAAAAATTAATGACGAAACGAAATTTAGAAAACTGTTCACAGTAAATATGTTTTATATATATTATCTGAATTTAAGTCAACTTAATAAAAGCCATTTGTGGACTTCCCAAGTTTTTCGTGCGCGAGTATATATCAGCTCAATACGTAATCAATTAATGGTGAATTAGTTCAAAACTGTTATTAATATAATGTACAATAGTAAAAAATAACAATCCATTACACTTGTAAGTTCTCGAAACGTTCTTAACCTCCGTTAGTCTGCGAATTTTTCATAAGATGTCAGTTTTTAGGTACAGGAACGTAAAATGTAATGTCAAATGTCCTGCGGGGTTATTCTCGGCAATTGAAAACTTTCCACGCGGAAAGTGTCAGCTGTCATATTCCGTACCATGTTTGTCTTTTGCCCTTTCCGTTCGGAATTCGTTTCATTGTGTTGAATAATTCTCCGTAATGTATGGGCACCATTTTGACTTGGCGGCGCAGAATCTTAACTATTGAAATTGCTCTTGCCTAACTGCTAACTGAGATCTTTCCAAGCTGTCATGTCAAACTATTTTGATATTTCATTTGTCGGGTTTCATATGTTACTGACAGTGTGTTCGATACTTATCTAAATGAATAGTCAATAATTACCGTTAGATACTTGAAATAAACTGTTTACTTCGTAGTCGTTAATACATTAAGTTTTAACTTTCCCCCCCGTTTTCATTAATTTCACAATTCATTCATAATTCGTGTCTTTCTGGCCATTTGTGTTTACGTGGTGATTAAAAGGGATAGATTAGCACTTTTCTGTTAAAAGACTGATTTAGTTTTTATGGCCGTGATTGAAGGTAGGCTTTAAACGCGAATTAATTCTAATGCGCCTATTTGTGTACCTATTGGATACAGACCGTAATTTTTATTTTCTTGCATAAAGCTACACTAGAACACACTGTCAGAAAAATATTTGGAATAGCAACCGTTTTGACTTGGCTATTTGAATAGCTTGATAGGTTTAAATTTAAAGTTGTTAGTGAATTTTTTTATGTGCTAGACTCGTAGGGAAATTAGGAAATTTTTTGATATTGATCTAGAAATTACTGAATGCTTGTCTTACCTTGTGGAATAAAATTGACGTTTGACAGTAACTTTTAACCCGTCAACTGTCAATCAAAATATTAAGTGATTGGCTTACAAATTGGCCATTGATAACCATAAGCTCAAAGTTAGTGACACAAAATTAAAAATGTATTTAAAATTAAGAAAGTTGCGCATGTGAGGTTGCAATGAAAATTGGAAATTTTAAGTTTTGAAATATTGCTTAGTTAATATGTAGGAGTTCAACGTTCAATGTTTCCAAATAGAAAGTGACGTGGGGCCATAGACAAGAATGAAGTGGCTAATGCTTGGCCACGTTATTGAGGCGTTAGTGGCTCACACCCCTCGCAAAATTTCTTGTCTACGGCCACCAAGGCGTGTGAGTGATGTCATGACATTGTGGTATTTAAAAATAATAAGTATAAAAATCTTCCCTTTTTCTATATGGTGCCCAATTTTCTGCTTCCAAAGATTTATGTTAATGACGAATTTTTAGATTAGAAAGTGACGCTTTATAATATTATGTTATTTTAAAACTTGGGATAATTAATAATGTTTAGAAATGTCATATTTTGTCCTGCCCACAACAAACTTGCATTACCCTATCATCGGGATTTAATGTTTTGGTGTTGTGAACTGGATTTTTAATTAATACAACTTACAAAACTTTAAATTTGAATGATGGACAAAGTAAGGCTGGATTAAGAATTATTTTATTGTGATAGCTCTCGTCCAATGTTTTGTCTCATTCTACGGACATGTAAAGGATAAAGACAAGACACAATAATGCGAATTCTTTGCAAGCGTTATTGTGAAGTCCGTTGGTGTGATAAATAATTTTATCTCTTTCTAACTGTTAAAGTACGTAAGAGATGGAACTATATGAAATTATGCTAGTTTTCCTATTATATGAAATCATGGTTTTAGACAATTGTGCCACATTTCGGGCTGATTCGGCTTAGCCACTGGGGCAGTATACAGCACATTTATCTAGTCCTTATTGAAATCTTTCTTGTTATTTTCCAAAGAGTTTTGATATTTCTTTTAGATCGGACATTACTTAAGAACTCAATCTGCAATGTAAATCGAATTCAATTATCTCTATCGTTCAGCGTAAGGCAGAAAAGGACAGAAAATTTTATCGATATAACCCTCGTTTTATTAGTAAAAACTCATTAACACAAAGACTGAAGAAATCTGAATGTTATGATTAACAAAATTTATTTTATCACCATATAAATTCGTTGTAGGAACTTGGTTTTTGTAATGTTTTAGAACTCCCGAATAACAACCAAAAAAAAATTATTTTCGCATTGACAGTGTAAAAATACTCACGCAATATGAAGTAAGTTGTACTGTTAAGTAATGCCTAAGTTTATACAAAATGTTGATTAGCATTTTTTCTTAATGATAAGTCTATCGCGATAGCTTTCGATTCGTCACAGTTCGATTAGAATCGGTTTTTAGTATCGATTGCTCCGTTTGCACTCAAATTTGATGCTGCCAGTAGTATCGGTTAAAGATCGACCTTAGGAAGACGATTCCTTAACCAGTGTTAAATAATTATAAGTTAACTTTGCGAGTATGGAATCGATTCGATTTTAATCGAGTCTCAATGATTTTCGCTGACTTATTTATTGTAGATAGTAATAAAGCTTCGTATTCATTAGGTGACATTTTGATGGCGCGACATGGCAGCCATTTTGTTGTTAAAACAATCGCTTGTTAAATAACGTGAGGTGAAATCTTTTGTTGTCGTTAAGTGTAATATAACTCCAGCAAAGTAAGGCGGGTATTGTAATATTACAATTAACACCTGTAATCTTACAGTGCAACTTTAATAGCGATTTCGATTGAGTTCTCTTACTACGTAATTCCAAGTATGTGAAATCAGCGCTACGGATATTGAAAGCCTTCTTATTGAAACTACATAGTAAGATTGCTGGTGTTAAGATTTGTCAACCCTTCTGAGATTTCTGATGCATATTGTTGCAACACGTTTAAACATGAGCACACATCAACTACAAAACAACTAAGCATTTTATTAAGTGACAAGTCACCTTTCATATTTGAGGTCTTTATTCTGAATGTTCAAAGTCCACAGAATATATTAATAAGGTCGAATGACGCCTACGACGACTGTCAATAAATAATTAATTTTATTTGTCTGCTGTCTGTGGTCTGAAACTCATAAGATGCTTTTTTCGCTAGACAGGCTGTCGCTGAAAGAGTAAAATGAACAATAATGAATACATTGCTTAGAATAAATCATTTTTGCGTAGGGCAATGAGCTAGAGTGATATTTGATTCCTAAACGGAAGTGAGTTATAACGATGATTTGTTTTCTTACTGTAAGTATATATATGTACATTTTGAACTTCCCTTACTTTATTGTAATATTTTGCGTTGAATTGTATTTATTTGAACATTTTTATTCGGCGGTATATAATTGTGTATATAGAATTTAGTTATAGTTAAATCCAAATATATAAATATGCAAAAATTACATTTATTTTTTGGCTGTAGAGTGTGTATCGAGATAGTGATTAATGAATGCCACTTTAACATATATATTCCCGTTTTCTGAATACGCTGTATATTGGAAAGCCCAACTTGTAGGCGTCGTAAGTAGTGTTTTTTATCTTAAAGATCAATGTGAACAAATGCTTTGTCAATAGACAAAACTTTTTCTAAGCATTCAGAACTTGACTGTGGTCCTTTATTAAAAAAAAGTAATACCTAAACAATATAGTTAAGAGTCTAAAATTATTACACTTATTTCTTACTATTATTTGTATGAAAATGTTGTGCATTAAAGACTTCTGGTAAGTGGCATTCATTAAGACGTATGAGTGCTTTAAAATAATTTCGCTTAGCAACGGTTATTGTAAATCCGTATCTTCGTGGAAAGTTAGTGCTGGTCTATAATTCGCTCAATGTTGGATTGTCTCTGTCTCGCAGAAGAATTTACTCATAATGCACCTTTCTGTATACGTAAATAAATTAAATATGCGGAGGAAATCGTGTAAATAAATCAATATTTATATTCATACTTCTCAGTATCAGCGCATTGTGGAAATTTGTTTTCCGGCAAATCTTCTTTATCCCAATAAAAAACTATTTAGATATTTAAAAAAAAACCTTTATTAATAGACGATTAGGAAAAGAGGTTCTATTTAAATTTGTGACACGTTGTTTTTTTTGCCTCTAACCGGCCAGTTCTCTAGGAGATTGAGACCAAGCAATATGTCTCCCTTGACATATTCATGTCTAATAAAATCTTAAATTTTAACAATTATTGCGAGACAGAGATAGAATGTTAGGAAATCGGTGTGTGGTGATAGGACGGCATATAGGGAGGTTACGATTATTCCAATTAAATTAAAAACAATGTAAAGTTTTTGATGTTTTATTTTATACCCTTATGTATACGATAACACGTGCATGGCTTTATTTAAATAGCCTAGGCTGATATAAAATTTCAAATATA